TATGATAATGGCTTGAACCTTAGTCAGTGTTGGGGTAAATTCGACATTGATGTTTTCAGTTTGCAGGAGATTTGCTCGACTGCTTATACTGATTTTTTTGCATGCATGATTGTGTCGCTAAACCATCAATTAGACTGACAAGGTTTTGAGATATTTACTGAATGAGCAACTGAGAGAGAAACATACTGTAATCATCTGTAGTGAATGAAGATAAATGATAAACAACACTAGTGATAATTATAAGTCAATTTACTGACCGATTTTGTTAATAGTTTCATTAATTTTATCAATCATATTACGTGATTGTCAAGTTATGACAATGCTTTATGACGATGTCCTGAAACTATTATGTTTAACTAGTTATAGTGTTGAATGAGGATTAGCCAGTGGAAAAATAGGTATTGTTGCTTTAGGTGATTCGAAACTATCAGAAATTTGTAACGTTAAAGAATCTGAGACGCCTAATTTAATTATAAATTTCAATTCAGAAATATTCGTTTAGTGTTAATTCTAGTAGGTTACGGAGTTTTGATTTTAAACGTTTGTTTAGCCAACAGCTACCTAGGGATTTAGTTATTTTACTAGTGCAGTTGATAGTACCTAAATTTGTAATCTAATTATCTAAACTATGTCCGCATTTTAGGCTGCTAATAGGATAAACCAATCCATAAACCCAAATACGATTAGCAACAACGACTATGATGGGCTTATTGATAAATGTTAAAGGCGATTTTTGATGCTTTCTAAATTTAGAAGACATGAAGATATAGTGCAACGTATGTACGGGTCAGGTTAACATGCAGGTTCTCGACGTATATGACAATTTAAAATAATGAACATGTGGTGGACCAGACAAATATGAACGCAAAAATTATAAACAAAGTTACTAAAGATCAATAGTAATATTAATATATACAGTTAATTGTTACAAATACAATTAAAATTAGGGACGTTACTTAAATTGATCAAACGCTGCGTGTTCTGATTAGGTCCGGTAATGTAAATCCACAATTATAAATGTTTGATAATTCCAAACAGGTTGGCGAACTCTCTGGTGATATAATCCCACGTAGAATGTGATGTGTTCCAATTACAGTCTATAAATAATGATAATATTTGATTTAGAATTTAGCTAATTCAATCACAAATGGAAATAGAACGAGGGATGTGTGAGTAGTAATGTATTTGTTAGCCAGTAAGTATATGTCACGCTATGTTCGAATTACAGCGGAAAAAGTGTTCAAGGTCATTGACTAAAACAACACGTACAGTCATTTAATGATAAATGTACATACAGTGAGAAATTGACAAAACAAATAGAAATAACATTGAAAACTATGTACAAAATAAGCTTGTCAGTCATATCTCCACATAGCTCCCCCCAGAGTGTCCGGAGGTAACACTGGTTACAATTAACAACAATAAAAAATTTTATACAAAAAATTAATATTTACAATAATAACCAATAAACAATGTGGAGATGCGTATGACATGTACGTTAATAATATACAGTGTATTATTGCGTTAAAATAGTGATGATATGGCATAGCATGACAAACAAAAGTAATGAGAATATCGTAATTTAAAATCTTGGTTTGCTAACAATGATAATGATGTGCAGAACTGTTACTGAACCCAAAAAAAAAATGGACTGCTTATTTTTTTGTGTGTGTGTACAACAAAGGAATAATTAAATAGAGTTTACTCGTTTATTATTGTAACCAATTTTTTTCTATGGAAAAAAAATGTGACAAAACGAATAATTGTGGGGAAAAAAATATGGTTAATTATGTACACTGTAAAAAAAAGGGAAAAAAAAATTATTATTTTTTTTTAATCGACGAAATGGACATAACGCTTGGGTTTGTTTATAGGTCTGCCAGAGCGTGTTAAACAAGAAGGTTTAGTATTAAGTTTTTTATCCTCTCCCGACTTTTCAGTCAATGGTGAAAGGGGTTGATTGTCAACGGCGTTGTCTTCTTTGACTTGCGTAGATTCATAGAAAGCAGGTTTGATTCTGTCTATAGAAATAGTCTGCTTTTTGCCATCTCTACTGATGATGAAGTATTTTTGTGTGCGTTTAATTACTTTGTATGGACCTTCGTATGGTTGTTTCAATGGTTTTTTGACAGCATCTACTCGAATAAAGACAAATTTGCATGTTTCTAGATTTCTGTCGAGTTGTATTCGATTGTTATGTTCACGAGGCGGTATGGCTTTGATTCGTTGCATGGTTTGCAGCAGTTGGCTAGCAAAACGACTTGGGTCCGTTGGCGTTAAAGTGTTTGGGTCCACTAGTTGACCTGGTAATGTAAGGGTTGTACCGTAAACTAGCTCAGCGGCTGTACAACCTATATCTTCCTTTATAGTTGAACGGATACCCAGGAGTACAAGTGGTAATGCGTCACTCCATTTTGTCGTATCATCTTGTGCCATCAGCGAGCTTTTCAATTGGCGGTGAAATCTTTCGACCAAGCCGTTAGCTGCTGGGTGGTAGGCTGTTGTTTTGATGTGGTTCACGCCCAGAAGTCTTGTGAATTCCTGAAATAAGATAGACTGAAACTGGGGACCACGGTCGGTAGTGACGATAGAAGGTACTCCGTAATTTGCTATCCAACGGTCAAGGAATACGCCGGCTACTGTTTCTGCAGAAGTATCAGCAATAGGGCATGCTATGGCCCATCTTGTGAACCTGTCCACCGCAGTGAGAATATGAGTGAATGAATTAGATGGTGGCAATGGACCAACTATGTCTAAATGGATATGCTGAAAACGTTTTTCCGGCAGGAGATACTTGCCAACTGGACTGATCGTGTGTTTCTGAATCTTGCTGCGTTGACATTGTAGGCAGCTTCGCGTCCATCGTTTTATATCTGAATTGATTTTTGGCCACACAAAACGCTCAGTAACCAATTTGATTGTGGCTCTGATTCCTGGGTGAGAAAGGTCATGCAGTTGACGAAATACCTGTCGACGACATGCTAGAGGTACGAAAGGGCGATTGTTACCCGTTGAAACATCGCAAATGATAGATGTATTTGAGAAAGGGATGGGTACTGGTTTAAGGTTCAAGTTAGACTTCTCCTGATAGACCTTCAAATCTGCATCGTCTACTTGTAGTTTTGCGATGGTTTCTAGATCGATGTCTTGTTTACGTAACAGGGTATTTACGTCCTTACGTGACAATGCGTCAGCTACGACGTTAGTGTGTCCTTTGACAAATTGGATATCTGTCGTAAACTGGGAGATGTAATCCAGTTGTCGTGCTTCGCGAGGTGAATGTCGGTCGTACGATGTGTGGAATGAGTAACATAAAGGTTTGTGATCGGTCATGATGGTAAAAGTTCGTCCTTGTAGTAAAAAGTTGAAGTGTTTAACGGCTAAGTAGATAGCAAGTAACTCCCGTCCAAAGGTACTATAGCGTTCCTGGGCTGGTGACAATCTTTTGGATAAAAACGCTATGGGGGTAGTCATATTATTTACCTGTTGTTGTAATACTGCCCCGACGGCTTTTTGAGATGCATCGGTACACAGAATTAAGTGGGTTGTGGGGTCAGTATTTAGATATTGTAGCATGGTGGCATTAGCTATCATCGACTTTGCTTTTTCAAACGCTGTTTTGGCATCAAGAGATAGGTTGAATGTTTGATTCTTCTCTCTCTTCGTACTTTTTTTGTCGGCTTTCAACAGATCTGTTAATGGCTGTAATACTTCAGCACAATGTGGTAAGAAACGGCGATAAAAATTACACATACCGAGGAAGCGTCGTAATGACTTCACCGAGGTTGGTTCGGGATAATTGGTAATCGCTTCAACCTTTTCTGGGAGTGGTTTGATGCCTTGAGAGTCGATGTAATGTCCTAAAAACTCTAAGGCTGGGACTGCGAATATGCATTTCGAAGGATTGATGACGACGCCATGTTTTTTAAAACGATCAAAGAGGGTCTGGACATGTTGGATATGCTCTTCTAACGATGAGCTTGCAATGAGAACATCGTCGATGTAGGCAAATACGAAGTCTAAACCTCTTGTGACATCATCCATGAATCGTTGGAATGTCTGCGCAGCGTTTTTCAATCCGAATGGCATCCTTAGAAACTCAAACAAACCAAAAGGTGTTATTATGGCTGTTTTCTCAATGTCTTCCGGTGCCATTGGAATTTGATGGTATGCACGCACGAGGTCAAGTTTCGAGAAGATGCATTTACCATGTAAATTTAACGCAAAGTCATGTATATGTGGAATAGGATACCTATCCGGGATGGTTTGGTTGTTTAATCGACGATAGTCACCACACGGACGCCAATCTTGGTCCTTCTTAGGTACCATGTGTAACGGCGAGGCCCAGGGGCTGTTGGATGGTCTGATAATGCCAAGTTGCATCATGTGTTCGAATTCTCTTTTCGCTACTTGCAACTTGCTTGGTGGTAATCTCCTCGCCCTGGCGCTAATAGGTGGTCCGGTGGTAGTGATATAGTGTTGTACCAGCTGTGGGTTACCTTCCTTTTGGTAATCTGATTTCATAATGCACTGGTATTCTGTTAGAATGTCGTTGAAGATATTGTTCACAGGTTTCATTATACGAACACCATAGATCTCGTTGTCGTTGGAGAGTGTACAATTTACCTGTAAACGTGTGTTTGTGTCGACTAATCTCTTGTTGGTCATATCAACTAAAAGGTTGTACGCACTAAGAAAATCGGCCCCGAGAATGGGTCGTTTGACTTCAGCAACTATGAATACCCATGTGAATCTTCTACGGAGCCCGAGATCTAATATAAGAGATTGTTCTCCATAAGTTTTGATAACTGATTCGTTAGCCGCTACCAAGGACAATTTAGTGCTTATCGTATGTTGTCTGCGTGAGAGATGGAGTGGGATGATGCTGATTTCTGCTCCCGTATCGACTAAAAAGTCTGAGCCAGAAATACGATCCCTGATGTGGAAAAGGCGGCTGACATGTTGGCCAGTAACAGCTGCCGCTATTACTGTCTGGCCACTTAGTTTCCCTGATGGTCTGGCTTGCTTGCCGTGAAGTTGCACGGTTTTGTGCAACGACGTGCTTTCTCGCCATAATTCGAATGATACCAACACATTCCAGCTGCACGCTTAGGTGACCTATGACGATGTCTGGATAATGATCTCCTTCTGGACATAGATCTGGGGCGTCGAGAAAGGATGGTGGCAATAGTCGCCTGTAGTGATGCTAGCTGCCGTGTTAAGTGTGACATTTGTTGCTGAATGTCAAGAGGAGGGTTCATAGCGTCTTTACAAGATGGTTGTACCGCGTTAATTCCCCGACTATCGGGATATATTTCCATCATCTTATCAGCCATATCAGCTAAATCGTCAAGAGTGACAGAAGTTCCTGAAATACTGAGAATTTGTCTGACATTATGTGGTAACCTTTGTAACCACATTTGTTTAAGCAGCGTCTCGTCTAATTTGTAGGGGCCGGCGAGCTGTCGCATGTGTCGGAGTAACTGTGAAGGTCTCTTATCCCCTAGCTCACACGAGGTAAGCAGTTGTTGTAAACGTTTTTCGTCTGACAGTGATGTGCGTTGGATTACTGCAGCTTTTATCTTGTCATAAGGGTCAGTTTCTGGTACGTTGTCAATAAGGTCGCCAACTTCCGTTGCTACTTCAATAGGTAGTGCACCGACGACGTGGGCATATTTAGTCGCTTGTGAACGTATACCTCTCGCCAAAAATAGTGCCTCTACTTGAGCAAACCAAATTCTAGGGTTGTTGACACCAAATGCTGGTAATCTTAGTTCAGAAATAGCGTTGATTGAATTTAAAACATTATCTTCTGGCTGTGATGAATGAAAGGGGTTGGTTGATGGGCTATCTATATCGATAAGTTTATTAGGAGAGTTCATAATGCCAAAAACAAAAAGTGGTGTCGTGCCAATCAATAATAATAATAATAAAATTATGTAGATATATATAGTAAATGTCTATAAAAAAAATAATCGAGGCTCACCAAATAATTGTGGTGGACCAGACAAATATGAACGCAAAAATTATAAACAAAGTTACTAAAGATCAATAGTAATATTAATATATACAGTTAATTGTTACAAATACAATTAAAATTAGGGACGTTACTTAAATTGATCAAACGCTGCGTGTTCTGATTAGGTCCGGTAATGTAAATCCACAATTATAAATGTTTGATAATTCCAAACAGGTTGGCGAACTCTCTGGTGATATAATCCCACGTAGAATGTGATGTGTTCCAATTACAGTCTATAAATAATGATAATATTTGATTTAGAATTTAGCTAATTCAATCACAAATGGAAATAGAACGAGGGATGTGTGAGTAGTAATGTATTTGTTAGCCAGTAAGTATATGTCACGCTATGTTCGAATTACAGCGGAAAAAGTGTTCAAGGTCATTGACTAAAACAACACGTACAGTCATTTAATGATAAATGTACATACAGTGAGAAATTGACAAAACAAATAGAAATAACATTGAAAACTATGTACAAAATAAGCTTGTCAGTCATATCTCCACAAACATGATCAGAAAAATAATTTTAAAGTTAAGACTGCTTGTGAAACTTCAGGCAGGAATATGATGCGTTATAAACCTTCCATAAAACGTTACTGCATTAAGCTTAGTGACACTTGCAAATATATGGCAAAAGCAACTAGAAAACATATACATGTTAAGTACAAAAAAAATCATCCAGTAAAATAGTTGAACTCGCCTGAATTATTTTTGAAAATTAGATTTTTCAGTGGACGACATATATAACGCCATTCGTGAGGAGTAGAAATGATCCAAAAGTATCCAGAATTAAACATGCAGTATGGCAATCACTTCCAGAGTGCTTGATGCTGCTGAGGTTTTTGGGACTCGCTCTGATCAGAACAACTGAATGAATCCAGATAATTGTGTGTGCCATTGAATGAGCCATCTAAAATGAACTTATGATTGCAGAAAACTTATAGCTGGAACTCACCGTATTTTTTTGGAGAAGTGTCATCCTTGTTGTTTGGCAATGGAACTCGAGAATATGAACTTAGGCAGGCAGTGGTCGGAAGAAAAGATATTACAGGATAGTGCATAGTTTAAAACAGGATGAGGTGTTAAGTGAGGGAACACTAAGAATTAGATCCAGATAACTATTCAATCCTTGATTGCATTGTTAGTCAATGTATATTTACGCTATTTACAGGTCATATTTGCGGGAGCTTGATGTTTAAACAAGTCTATGTTGCTGAAGCATGTAAATGCTATTAAGGCTTGTTGACGAATCATCAAAGCTAATTAGTTTATATAGACGACCAGTTTTAATTATCGATTGAACTAGTATGTCATGAGGACTAATCAATATAACATTACAATGATGCATGTGAGCATTAATCAGAGGACTATTAGAATACAGGGTTAACATAAATATAAAATCGATCGAGAAAGTTGAAGTGGAAATAAGGATTAATAATAATAGGTTGCGTTTCTTTAGTCGGGCTCACCAATGTAGAATTATGGTCTACTATGATATTAGTAGTGCTCTAATAATAGACCTAATCCTAAATTTGTAGATTTGTCATGATATAACTGCTTAATCTATAAGATCTTACGTGGAAGTCACACCATCGACTACACCAACTCACTGTATCGTATCAATTACCAATACATGATGTAGAACAAGGTTAGGCTAGAGAAAGAACAATATATTTAATATGAATAGAAGATATAAGGTAACATTCCGCAGAGACCACGCCTGCATGGCCGAGCCATGCCACTCGATCAACTTCAGTCCATTCAATTCATTCTTCGCGCCTTCTCCATCGTTAGGTATTTATCCGCGTTAAATACTGAATATCTACTTTCTGAGTAGTCTCGTGTTCAGCTTTGTGGATTGTGCGGTTATTGTTCAATGCCACTACAGGTCCACGAATTTGCACGGAAGTCGGAGCGTCGTTCCGTAAACGAGATGTGTCTTTAGGGCCAGTAGAATGTCACCCCACCCAAGCCGAAAAATCCAGCAGTTGGGCCGGACTGCCTTATTACAAGACAGTCATTTTGATACCGTTTCCGGTTTATTTACATGCAATATGGGTTTGCGAAATATCCAAACGACCTCTGAAATTTTCCACGAACACCAATGATAACCAAACGAACGTTCAGTGCAACTGTCAGTATACGTAAGAACGATGTTATTCCGATTCGAAGTTATGACACACCCTAACTATTGTAGTTTTTCAACTTCGACATCGTACTTTATTGTATGAAATGTTGTTTCCTCGTGTCAGTTATCTAACAGATGATTTCGGTACATCAATCTGCTGTTCAACTATTCGACGACTTAAAACCTGTCCTTTTTAAGTGGTGGTCTGACTACATTATTATCCGCGCGAATCACCAGTTTATGCAGTCGAACAAATCTCCTGCAAACTTAAAACGCCATCGTCGCCCCTATCCTAAAGCTGACAGCGTTTTTCACTGGTATCATTGACATGAATTCAGAGTGACACTCTTGGTTTCTTATGTCCTTTTCGATATTTTTCTGTTCATTAGTCGAACAAACAAGCAGCACTAACAGTTCATCATCTTTTAGAGACTTCGTCGTGCCGCCTTCGCTGTCGATCTGTAGCCTTCGAACTTACTGACTGCAACACAGTCAGCGACTTTTCAAATTCTGACTACAAGTTGGTCAGTAACTTCGCACAACGAAATCATGACTTCTATTCACGGTTATAAATCTGCACTCACAGTTATTCTGTTAAATATAAATACAACTGGAATTCGACACTGATATATTGAAGCTGTCAACGACACTTTAAACTTTAAATCAAAGGCAGTATAAACATCGGCATTGAATGATAATACACTTATCGTACTATCACTATAGCAACATTCTCCGTAATTTCTATCGAAATGAATCTAGAATTCTTCTTTATAAAGTTTGTGTGACACCTATCGTTCAATACTGCTCGTTCTTATTTTCCAATCTACGCCTATCTGACATACTAAAGGTGGAAGGAATACAACGAAACTTCACTCGCAAAATACTTAAGACAGACTCTGGTACTGACTACAGTTCCCGATGCCAAATTTTAGGTATAGCACCCCTTTGGGAGAGAAGGCTTAGGTCTAATTTGATTATCTACTCCAAACTACTCAAAAACCTTACTTATTCAACATGTAAGATAATTCTTGCCCGAGATTCACATAAATACGAACTTCGAAACAAAGTATCTACCGTCAAAGTTGAGAAATACAGATCAAAAACTCAGGAAAACGTCTTCCTCACCAAGTATGCAATAATATGGAACAGTCTTCCCTTTGAAATACGCATGGCAGATGAATTACATACGTTCGTAAAACTACTGTATCAAGCCCTCACCTGCACTAATCTTGCACGTACGAACACATCTGCGCCCCACTCAGACATCATAGGCTCTCTCCATGTCTAAATCAAAGTGGACTTCAAGTTCAGTTCTCTTTATTTTTCCTACTTTGAAGTTGTATTAGTTACTTTTTCCACCCTATATCTTCGCTTGAAGTAGACAGGTAACTCACTGGACCTATCAATACTGTTAAGCTAAACTCGGTCGCTAAGGGACACTCACTACCACCATAAAAAGTCAAGAGAACCGCACAATCGACTGCCTACTACCAGTGGTTTTGCATCTATGGAGCCTGTTACCAATCAACTGGTTAGGACAACACAAAATAACATCAACACCAAGTTAATGTGAGTTTCTTCCTGTTTATCCTGTATTAATATAGTGGCTTACCCCTTCGACCAGTATTAGATATGAATGACTCAACGTATCATACTTTAGCAAAATGGTTAGTGCAAATTCTTCAACCATTACACAAAGAAGTTGTCAGACATAGTGTCAAAAATTCCTTTGAATTTGTTGAGAAAATAAAAAATCTATCAGTCAAGAATAAATTCATGATATCACTTGATGTATCATCATTATTCACTAATATTCCACTACTCGAAACGGCTGATTTTATTTGTAATGAACTAACGGCGAGACGCATAGAAACCCCGATTCCTGCATCCGCAATAAAACAGTTAATTCTTAGATGCACTATGAATGTCCAATTCAGATTTGACAACGAATACTATAGACAACTAGATGGAGTCGCCATGGGATCACCATTGGGCCCTCTTTTGGCTAATCTTTTCCTTGCAAAACTGGAAAATGGACCACTTAAAAGTGCAATTACCCATTTACCTACTTATTATCGCTATATAGATGATGCTTCCATGGTATTAGAAAAAGAAAATGATAAGCAAAATTTACTTAATATATTTAATAACGTTCATCCATCAATTAACTTTACATTAGAAGATGAACAAAATAACAGCATATCTTTTCTTGACGTCCAACTAACTAGAAGAACAGACGGGACTTTAAAAAGAAGGGTACACAGAAAGTCAGCAGCAGGTCAATACACCCATTTCCACAGTGCAGTTCCAATCGGATACGATAGGAACTTGATAAAGATCTTGACCCATTGTGCTAGAATTACTTGCTCTAAAGACACCATTGAAGAAGAATTGAACAATATTCGGAACCTAATCAGTCTGAATGGGTTCCCCATGAAATTCATCGACAAACATATGACGGAAAAGAAAACAAGGACAAAAATACCCATCATCCCCAAGAAGGTATTATTCATAAAACTACAATTCATAAATGACACCATTGAAGAAGTCATGACTCGAAAACTACGAAGAGCTGTACAAAAAACATTTAATGCTGCCAAATTAAATGTCATCACTACAACCACCCGAAAAAAAGACCGTCCATTAAAGACAGACTGCCAGGATTCGCCAAATCTATGTGTATCTATCGTTTCAACTGCTCCTGTGGGGCCAGTTACATAGGGCGTACAATT